AACAGTCTGCACCTCGATGCTTCCACGTTGAGCCAGGTTTTGCGGGTACGCCTTGCACACACCACCCCACCGCCGCCTGCCTGCTCTTCTTTTCCAGTCGGGCTGCATGAAGGAGCAAGCTGCAGACGCCAGGAACGCTGCTCYGACAGCCCAACCTGATCCTCTCTGTGAGCTCCGATGWGGGCGGTGTACACCCGGCTCACTGTGGAGTCCGCCCCCGTCCGAATCACACTYCCYCTGGCCCATTACTCTTTMTATATCCGTGGYCTTTACTGCARGTACCAGTAAGGWACGCYGCCCTYCTGAGCCTCTAGTACCTAGCTCGAAATAGGACAGCGGCCCATTGGTWTYAGCGGTACCAAGCCYACAGATACGCGGTACTTTCCTTCAGCAGCGATTTTTYCGTTAGTGCCGCGGYTTAGGCCCGGCAGTCAAGTATTGCACCACGAAATAACAGCCCCAGACTGCAATGTCCCTCACCAGCCACCATTGTTATCTYAGTGACYGTGGCCGGAAATAAGTGTACCAAAAACAGTGAAAACTCAGAWCTTKCCAACCTTGTAGGATCAAATTATATTGTGGCCCGTTYCCCACCGTACCTGTCCCAAATCGGGCACKTGCCTGTTCCGATCCAGCGGCCGTATCAAATCAATGAAGGATATCGTACSATGYCGCCAATATYGTGTCAACCCCGTACAAGCCCCGAACCAAGYGTGGCCGCGCCGTRYCTTCCCCGAACCAGCATCATACCGAACCCATTCCGAACCTGAATAGCAGCCTGTCCAGTCATCCTGYCAGCTTGATGCCGAATACCGTACCAMGCAGACGCGCCGTGATAGTACAGAGCCTGCCCCGAAATGTATCTGCGCCGTGACCGTACCCAGATTGATTGTACCGAGCCTCAGGGGCCGGCAGACGTGCTAACCCACTAGTGGCACCTGAAATAGTTGCCATGAACAGTTAAGGCCTGCGCCGTCACTATACCAATGCCGAACCTGGAATAACCAATCTGAACCGCAGCAGCCTGAACCTTTACCATGTCTGGCCCGTGACGAATACCGTACAATGCCGTTATACCGTGATAGATACAGTACCTGAAGCACGTCAGACACCGTAGGACGTAGTCACTCCGTAACGACCCTCGTATCCGTACCGAACCCAACACCATAGTCGACCCAAGGCAGCACCACGRCATGCTGYCTATGCGACTCCTGCTCTCAGAACATCCCAACCGCGGTAATGTTAGTAATCAAGCACACCAGGGAAAGCGTCKCAGGAAACCTCAACCATCGGCAGTAGTRTTAACTAGTTAAAATCCGGGGAAAATGATCAATCCGGAGACAGAGCTGATGGCGGGTAATCGAGGCGAAATTAGGCCAATCTCCTAATAATCATGTGTTCCCGTCCCTTTYATCATTTTTCATCATTCTCCCCTTTCCTTAATTCTATTGTTGGAAACAGTGAATTAACCGTAAGATCCCYAAAATAAAATTCCGAGAAAGTTTAAATAAATGGCCGAACTTCTTTTGTTTCTTTTCTCTTTTGACCTTTACAATCTTTTTCTATGTTTTTAATTCCATTGCCGGRAACTTAAAATMAAAGGGGTATTCCCCCTTGAATTTAATGCCRTTAAAAATAGAGAAATTAAAGGATATTATGTTTTTCCCTTCTCCCTTACTGGTCGTAATCCCTTTTTCCCATCTTTAATTATGGTACTAAAATAGTCAAAAATTTGAGGCCTCATTTYGGCCCCGGTCGTATACCRCAAAGATTGTGGYTGCGAGGTCAGTTCCCGCGATGCCTCTCCGCGGCCGRCCAATCCAGGTCTAACCCTCCGAACGGCCGRAAATGACGGTSTGTTGTAGTGCCGAGTGCGACCACCCATCTTGCCGTCTCTGAGGGTTACCCGTAAGGTTCAGCGCACCCAAAATCAAGGACGCCCTGAGCTCCCCTAATTTCCGCTACCTGGTCTAACCAGAGTACCGTCAAAACTCAAACTCGTCTTCGCGCCTAAGTCCCAAAACCATAGATTTCAGGCGGCGGACTGTTTGTAGCCGCCTGACAACGGCACCATCTCGTGGCATTGACTGGCGCATGCCACAACCTCCGTCGGGCGGTCAGCATCTGGGAGGGGGTGGAGGAGGAGACAAAGGAGACGGCGGAGGTGGCGGAGGAGACGGCTCACAGTTTGCCAGAAAGGGGACGGGCGAGACATCGTCGGTAGAGAAGGCGTCCGGCGGAAAGGGGTCGGGCGGGAAGGACTCGGGCGGAAAGGGGTCGGGCGGGAAGGGGTCGGGCGGGAAGGGGTCGGGTGGGAAGGGGTCGGGCGGAAAGCGTAGAACGTCCGGGAGTCCCCAGTATATGGAAACTGACCCCCACTATGTAGGGAGTCGAGATTCCAACATGCAAGACGAGGCCACCCTGAGGTCTAATCAAGTGAGTAAATTCGCACTTGTCTGCGAGGACTTTGTTTCCCGTTGCCGATGAGAGTCCATCTTGCTCAACACCTTGCTCCCGTTGCCGATGTGCGTAGCAGAGGTCTCCTGTGCTCAACACCTTGCTCCGGAAAGAGGGCGCGTTTTCGTTTTGCCTGGAGGGCGGGATGCCAGCATTGCGAAGGAGCGAAGGTGCGACCTTCAGTTCCCTCGGCTCGGGCGACCGCCACAAACTCCGAATACATTCAGATTTGCTGACGTCGCCCTCCGCCATCAGTGCTCCTCACGCAACAGTTCCGCGGGGCCAAGAAAATCTGACGTCTTGCCCCCCGCATCTTCAGTTGGACACAGGGTTGCCCTGCTCGCCTCTGTTCTCATGTGTTGAGACTCGAGACTGGCGGTTTCGCGACGTGGTAGAGGGGCCCACTGCAGGGGTGTTGGAGACCGATGGTGGCGAGTATGAACGTCATACTTCTGGGGAAGAGGACCGCTCTCTGGGAACGCGTACTGTACATCGGGAAGAGGAGACTCAACGCTGGCAGTCTCGCAAAGTGTTGGAGACCGGGGGTAGCGAGTGTGAACATCATGCTTCGGAGGATGCGTCCGTGGACACTGACGGCGAGAGTGCAAGAGCTCCGGGGGAAACGCATGCTCTACAGCGGGGAGAGGAGACTCGTCAGTTTCCGACTCAGGAAGACGTGAAGGGGCTACACGCACGAGCGCTGGTGATCGGGACGTTCGAAGAGGTTCTGCACAGTCGTTTGGCTGTGGCCACGACGCGAGAGGGTGTCGTTAAGGGAGGTCAGTGGACGTTCGTGCAAGCTCCCGTTCTTGGCGACGATGAAGACGAAGAAAAACCCGCGGTGGAAGCTCGGGTTCATGGCGATGAGAAAGGCGGAGAACCCGTGGTGGAAGGCGGTGAAGTGACTGTCGGCATCCTGACGGATCCACAGCAGAAAGATGGTGATTCTTCGCCCACCCGTTGCGGTGAAGAACAGGGTGGTCGAGCATCTGTCTTAAGCACCGCTCGGGGAATGGTGCTTCATGAAGCCATAGAGTTGGGTGACGACTCGACTGCCAACGAGCTGGTTAGCGACTCAGGCTTGGCCGAGATGCAGAACGTCGAATACTCCGTGGAAGGCGGTGAGGTGGCCGTCAGCATCAAGATGGATCCAGAGCGGAAACATCATGATTCTCCGTCCACCTGTTGCGGTGCAGAACAGGGTGATCGAGCATCAGTCCTCAGTACCGATTGGGAAATGGTGCTTCATGAAGCCATCAACTTGCCAAGCGACTCGGCAGCCACCGAGCTGGTTAGCGACACAGCCGTGGCCGAGGTGCAGAACCTCGAATCGTCCGTGGACGTTGATGCAGTGGCGCGACAGGAGGGCGAGTTCCCTCAAAGGGCTCCCGAGCACGGTAAGATTTGTGAATAGGAGCACTCGCATATCTATCACTAGGCAACTCTTTGTTTGTCCAAATTGATGTCATGGGCTAATGTACCTTTTACCACTTGTTAAAAAAAAGTTTGTGGGTTGTGGGTTGTTTTCTATGTTCTACAGGTGTGAGGTTGTTTTTGTCCCTGCCCATGAAGCCTGTAAAAGCCGTGAGCGAGAAATGTCTTTCAGGGAGGTCATTGGCCGCTTTACCAAAAAAGTCGTCAAGTGTAGGGTTGTTTAAAAGGGTCTAAATGCCTCGCCTTTCCCAGAGAGTTGTCAGGGTTCTAAAGGCTTGTGGAATAAATAAGGAGGAAGGTTTGTGGAAACATTTGGCTGCGTCTATTGAAAGCGTTACCGCTTTGTCTGATGGGTCTGATGACGATGTCAAACAGGGTGTCTTGAAAGACACGTGTCCTAAGTACATCGCCAAGGACACATTCAGCAGTCGGGGATAAAACTTTTCTGGGAAAAGGGCAGACTGTTCTTAGACATTTCGCCTCGGTGATTTTGATTACTCCTCACACTTGTTCGTGGGTGTTTGTGCAGTTGGGGCTACATCATGTTTTCGCGTTCCGTTGCCTACTAAGGAGCTTAGCGCAACGGACTTGAGAATGTTGCCGAACGTCTGCGGAGATTTCAGCAACGGCTACGAGGTGGTATCCTCGGTTCGCAAAAGGGTCAGTTCAATTCCGTTGACCAGAAGAAGTCTTCAAACTTTTGTTCAAGAGGAATGGCTTTCCGACGAGGTGGCGGAGTCGTACTTGGCCTTGCTTGCCAACGCGGTGTTGCCTGGGTGTCCCTCTCTTTACATTTTCAGTCCCTTTTTTTATACCAAGCTCGTCCGTGGCGGCTATCAACATGATAGGGTTGCGAGATGGACAAAAGATGTGGATATTTTCTCGTACGAGATGGTCTTGATTCCTGTCCATAAACATGGAGTGCATTGGACCCTACTATGTCTCCGAGAACAACGGTTGGAGTACTACGACTCTCTCGTACAAGACAATGGCGGTTTTTCTTCCAATGTGATTGCGAACTTCACGCAATACCTCCGTGACGAAGCAGTTTGTCATTATGGTCAAAAAACGAAAGTGAATCTCCAGGAGCCCAAGGTGGTTGTTCGTGGTGTCCCTCAACAATCGGACAGGTCGAGCTGCGGTGTTTTCATGCTCGCCTTCGCTTCATTTTTTGCCCGCGACTGTCCGCCACCATTTTCAATAGCCCAACGCGATATTCCAAACATCCGGCTGAGGATTGCGGTGGACATACTCCAAGGTGCTGAATGATACATTGTTGTTAAAATACGCGTAGTTTTTTTTTCGAAATGCCATGAGCAGAAGTGCGAATTTATTCCTACTTGATCTTCAAGTCGGCCGGTTCGAGTTGTGCTGTTGGTTTGATGAGGTACCGGATTGCAGAGGACGTTTTGGTCAAGTAAACGCTTAGGTGTCGATGTGAACATCCCACCCTCGTGCTGTAGCAATTTCTTAAGAGTTCTTCATTTCGAGGAACCTGTCATCTTTAATCGTACGCCTTTCAGCAACATCGTGCTACCTTTGTTTGTTTTCGGGTTGTTCTCATTGCTTGTTGCGCAACATCAGCTAGAGGGTTGCAACGGACGCTTACGTGATGTACAATCTTAGACGCCGATGTAAATATCCCAGCCACGTGGTGCAGTATCTTTTAAGTAGACGCTTAGATATGGGATGTGAATATCCCGGCTTTCAGACCACGGCAGCACCATGCTGGGTTTGTTCGTTTCGAGGTTGTGCTGCTCTGTTACTCATGGGACGTCTTCGTCCTCTTGTAAACATTTTTCACTTATGCTCTTAGTGAAAGATATCGACGATTTATTCTTGGTCGCCAAATCTCTTTCGTTTGCGAGACTTTGTGGTGTGAAAGCCCCTCTCCCCCACCCCACCCCGACCAGGCAACTTTCATATGTTTTGGCTCGCCCTTGTTCTGCGTGTGCTGCCCCGTTTTACGGTTCACCCCCTCTGCTTGTCTCCATTGAATGCTGTCTGTTGGTTCCTTATGACAGTTGCGAACTTGTTCTCCGTTCGGAAACCAATTGTCGCCAAAATGTATGTGTGCTTGAAGTTGTTTTACGGATTCAGCGGTGCACTAAATGATTACCAATTTTGTTATCCCTGGAATACATCTCATGCTCTCACGGAATGCTGGCAGTTGTTTCCATATGAGAAATGCGAACATATTCGCACTTTGGATGCCGTACATTTATGATTGAACTGTTGGTTCCATATGAGAAATGTGAACATAATCGCACTTTGGCTCCATGTGCTTTGTGATTTTTGGAAAGCCTCCGTGCACTTTGCAATGTGGGATTGTATGATATTTTGCGTTCAGTGATTTTTTGAAACGTCTCTGTGTGCTTTGCAATTTGCCATTGAATGAATTTTTTGCATTGAATGGTTTTTGAAAACTGTTCGTGTGCTGTGAGACTTCACCTTTGGAAAAACACTAGGCAACTTGAGATGTTTTCACCTCGATATTTGCGATGTCTCTGTGTGCTTTGCAATTTGACTTGAGATGTTTTCATCTCGATGTTTGCGATGAAAAGAGATACTTGTATAAATTGATATGAATCTTCTATACAGAAAATTTTGATGGCGTTTTCAACCTGGAATATACAAATGATAAGTCAATGTCTATATTAAATCGTCGTGCTGATGGACTGTGCAACTGCTTCTCCATCAAAGTGCGAGTTCAATCGCACTTCTGGTGTAAGCCCTGAGCAATTCCCTCGCACTTTGCTTCACGTCGAGGAGGGGATCGAATGCACCGCCGGTAAGCACCTGCACATCACGAAACAAGAGCACGTCCCAATTGGAACATCGTCGGGTTCTTGCGATGTCGACTCCCACATGATGACTACACTGAACAGCGGCAGGATGACCACTCTGCCTCTCCGATGTGAATCTAACGGTGGATTGGGTCAAATCTGCTCTCATAGATCCGCGCCGGGTTGGGGGACGGGATCCGACCACAGTTTGCTTGTAAGGCATCTTATGATTTGTCGATATAACCGACATCCAGAACTGCTTGGTGAGCATCTAGTGCTACGCTAATAAGTTCCAAAAACACGGCAGCAAAGTCCCCTGAGAGTTTTATTTGCCAGGTCCTCATCTCATCGACTCCCTGAACATGACTACAACTAACAGTGGTAGGATGGCAGGTCCACCTATCCGACGTGGATCTCATGGTGGAGTGCAAAACTCTGCTCTCAAAGATCCATACCGGGTAGAAAGTCCTGCAAGCAGCCGCTGCTTGCTTGTAAGGCATCTTATGATGTGTTGATATAACCAACATCCAGAACTGCTTGGTGAGCATCTAGTGCTACGCCAATATGTTCTAAAGACGACCGCAAGGTCCCCTAAGAATGCTTTTAGCACTGGAGTCCTCTGATCGTCGACTGTTTGACACTTTGTGAAGGTTGACACTTCTTGAAGGTGGACTGCCACTTCTTAAAGGTGGTCAGTCACCAAACAGATCACGACCTAACATCAACCTCGATAACTGCGAATTGACTCGCTGTTCAACTAGAGTCTCTCTCTCTCTCTCTCTCTCTCTCTCTCTCTCTCTCTCTCTCTC